TGATTGGGAAACTGCGCCGTCTGCGTCGCAACCTGGATCATCTGATCGACGACGCTCTGCACGTTCCTGAGGGCACGTACCCCTTCGGGTATCGACTCCAGCTGCCACTGCAGGCCCTGTAACAAGCCAGACAGTTGATTCACTGTTGTCAACGCCGCCCCTCCGGCTCGGAACTGGGGATCGTTCTGGAGAAGGTCGACTGCCTTCTGTGCGGACGATGCTGCTGCCCTGGCTGCCTCGGCTGCTGTGGGCGCCGCCTGGCCGTCCTGCCCGACACGGTTGCCGCCCGGGACCCACGCGATTCTCTGGCCGCACATCATACACCGAGAGCCAGAGCCGTGCTGATTCCCGTAGTAGCGGATGGCGCTGGCCGGGTGACTGCAATATGGCGGCGCCTTGGGTGGCGGCTTGGTGGCTGCCGGTCCCGTCAACACCCCGGCTGGGGGTGTCGGTGCCGCCGCTGCTGCCGCCTCTGGTGGAGGCGGACCCGCTGGCAGCGGGGGCTGTCCTCGCTGCTCGGCTCCCGCCGAGGCCAGAGCGTAGATCGCCTGGCTCATCGTCGGCTGCGCCGATCCCTGGATCGGTGTCGGGGGCGGCCACTGAGACGCCGCAGCTGCAGCTCCCCACAGCGACGGCTGGGGCTTCGGTGGAGTCGGTCCTGTCGCTGGTGGCGCTGTCGCGGTGGCTGCTGTCGGGATCGCCGTAGCTTGCCCAGGACCCAGCCCCATCGGGTTCGACAATTGCTGAAACTGCTCTAGCATCTGCTGCTGACTGAGTGCAGCCATCGTCGGTACCGTCTGCTGAGTCTGGCCCTGACCGCCACCACTGCCGGCTCCTTGCTGTGGCTGAGGGGCCATCTGCACGTCGCCGCTGACTGCCGCGGCTGCCGCGCCGGGCTCGAGGCTCTGCCCGACTAAGAATGCTGAGCCATCGAACGCCTCCGAGGATACGTCCGAGTCCTGACCGTTGGCCTGGCGCCGCGCCAGTAACTCTTCGGTGAGCTTCTTGGCGCCGGGCTCCTTCTGGTTCTTCTTGCCGCCTGCTGTGGCCTGCACGGCCAGAGCGAGGATGATTGCCGCGCACGGCGCGAGCATCACTGGAACTGTGAATACGAGTTCTGAACTGAGATGGGTCGAAAGCTGGAGCGATTCGCTGGTACAAGCTCGAGCCCGAAGTTGCTACGGAAAGACAGATGAGCTGCATCAGACCTTTGGCCATCTTGAGGCCGAGGGCCCTGAGGTGCGACGTAGCACTGCTGACGATGGGATCGAGGGCTCCGAGACTCCTCCTGAGGCCGGCCGAGGCACTACGGCACGTCCGCGCGATGGGTTCGAGAGCTCCGGTGCCGTTCTTGATGGGGTCGGGGTCTTTGGTCTCTCTGATCTTGCGCGTGACCTTGTTCTGGCTGATCATCTTCTCGTCCTTAGTGTTCTGGGGGGATCCCGAGGCCCTAACCCGTTCTAATCTGGCCCGCTGAGCTAGTGACCCGTTCTTGCGGTTAAGCTCGAGCCTGATCGATGCCTGCACGGACTCGAGGTGACCGGGGATGGTGATGATGAAGATGTGTGCGATGATGTACTCAGTCACCTCTCCGCTGGCACTCATCATAGGCGGTGCCTGGCCAGCCTGCAATCTGAAGGAAGCTGCTGTCAGAAAAGGATACTTCCGAAGCGCACTCTCGGGAGCTTCGTGGCTGCCGCGTGTCTCTCGCACTATGTCTGCCATGCGGTGGCCCGATCCGAGCTTGGTGACCGGGATATCCTGTGACAGATACTGCGAGATCAGAAGATTGCGCGATCAGAAGATTGCGCGGCAAGTCCAAGACACAGCCGAGGAAGTCTAGCAAATTCACGCTCAGGATATGCGGCACGTCCTCGTTCAAAACGGTGGTCTCCACCACGCCCATCACTCCTCCCAGACACAACGGATACAGGATGGTGCAGAGGACCTTCGCCTCGCCTCCGATGCCGTGGGCCTTCTTGGGTGCCTTGAACTCGCTGGACACCACCACGTAACGTAGGCCGTACTTGGCAAGTGCCTCTGACTCACGATTGAGCGAAGGCAGCCCCACGATGTCGCTCCCTGCGCCCGGGTCCACTAGACCCTGAGTCACGGCGGCGTTCAGGTAGATGTCGCTGGACTCGACCTCCGCCTGCAGGTTCCTCAGCCTCTCGATCACGTCGGGGCTCAGGATGGGGAAACTGCACCCGTCGAAGGTATAGCCCGTCATGCCTCGGCGAGGTCGATCCGAGCGCCTGGAGTCATCCTCCTTCCTAGGATTGGGACACTCCCGGGCCCAGTGGCCCTTCTCCTTGCAGTTCTTGCAACGGGTCACCTTCATCAGTCGGAGGATCCGCGGGTTGGTGCCTGAGCTGCCGTCGTGTCCTCGCGGTCGGTCCCCGCGACCTCGTCCGCGTCCCTTGCCCCGGGCGCCTCCGCGGCCTCCTCGACGTCCGTCGTCGCCTCCGCGTGGCTGCCTGGCTCCGTAGAACTCGCGGTCCTGCTTGGCGGCCCGCTTGAGGTCTTTGTTCTGCTTCCAGGACCTGCGCTGAACCTTGCCGGTCATCTGGATGAACGCCTCTGTGGCCTCGTCCTCCTCGAGGTCGAGGTCCTCGATTTCTGCCAAAATGGCCATGACGTCCGACTCCGACAGCTCGTCGTCTTCCTCCTCTGGTCCCTCCTCTGACTCGTCGTAGTACGACTCGTCGTCTTGCTTCGCAGTCCCGGAACCCAGGGCAGGATAGGCCTGGGAGGGAGGAGGAGGAGGGGAACTGGACCCGTCGCCCAGGCCGTCTTCTGCGGCCATGACGGGGTGGGACGAGCTGCCGCCGGGCAGCAGCTTCTCGCCACTGCCGTAGTCAAGTTGCCTGAGAGCCCAGGCAACGTCGCTGTACTCGAGGCTGCCCTTTGTCAGCGCTCGAAGGTTCTGCTGGCCCTGAGCGCCCAAACCGGCGCCCTCCTCGAGCATGAAACCCTTCATCCGGTTGGACATCCAGATGTCGTGACCCTCGGCCTCCTGCATCTGCTGCTCCCTCCTGGCCACGAACTGTGTGAGGCTCTCCTTGGCGCCGCGGGTGCACTCGAATAGAGCTCGACGACCTGCTCGTCGCATGTCGTCACCTTCGCGCTCACCACTCATGATGTCCATCCTGGTCAGGAGGGTGTCCAACCACTGCTGGCTGCATAGGACGCCCTCGCTGATGTCTTCAAACTTGGCCTGCATCGCCCAGTCAAACAGCTTGAGGAAGCGCTCGGAGCGCCGCCACAGCTGCACGTCTGTGTTCCGATTCCAGCGCTGCATGGCCTTCTTCCACAAACGGTAGTGCCCCCAGCCGGGCCATGCGGGCGGGTCCGAGTAGTCCCCCTTCGACCACCCGCCGCCGTCGGCCCAGCCGGAGCCTTGCCAGCCGGAGTCCTTCCAGTTGGAGTTGTCCTTCCAGTCGGTGTTCTTCCAGTTCGACTCCTGCTGCTGCTGATCCGACTGATCTCTCCCGCCGTCCTTGGACTCCGGCTGCTCTCCGCGCCTCCAGGGGTCCCGGCCGGCGTCGCTCCAAGGGTCCTGGCCCCGGGAGCTGTCTCGCCCGCCTGGATCGCCGCTGGGGCGCCCGCTGCTTCGATCATCTGCGCCTCCAGCTCCGCCGCCCTGTCTCGGACCCAGCGCCTCCTGCACGAGCTGCTGCACCAACTCCTTGAGCTGATCTGGCAGCTGGCCGCCTGAGCCCGAAGCCTGAGCTCCGGTAGCTGGGGCGCCGCCGCCTGCAGTCGCCCCCGACTGCTGCGTGCCCCCTGGATCGATCACAGCGTAGTTCTTGCTGCCGTCTTCGTCGTCTGCTGGCATACTCTTGCCGTGGATCCGCGCTCTGTCCAATTTGATGAGAGCAGCGCTCGCGCGGCGGCCCGAGCTGCTCCTGGCACCACCGCTGCCTAGCGGTGCCTAGGAGCGCCCATGCCGGCCGCGCCGAACACTGCTCCGCTACCAACTGTGGCAGCAGCAGGATGAACAGATGTACTTTTGGCCTTGAGCCACAACGACGAAGTACAGTACAATCTTCCCTGAGTGTCATAGCGGACAATCCTGGCTGCCCCGTGAGCTGGAATGCGGGGCTATACAAGAAAGATCAATATGCTAAACCTATCAAAGGACACCTATCACAAACGTTCTCAAGATGATAGGTTCTACCGGTCTGAACTATGCGCCGGCACGACGGATTCAGGGAGCCGCCCCGATCTATGCAGGGACAAGACCAAGCCAAATCGCCAGGTCAGGCCAGCCGCCTCCTTCGCAGGCAGCCCGCAAGAGGAGAATCGGAGGAACGAAACGCGACACTACCACCAGGAGTGCCACCTCCAGCGAAGAGGCCCACGATGCCTACATGGGCTCGGGATAGGGGCTGTCTGGAGCGGGGAGGACCACGACAGCAGGAGGACTACCGCTGGCTCCTCTCGCTGGTGGTTGTGGTGTCGGCTTCCTTTGCTCCTAGAGAACGGGGGCAGACGATGAAACGCGTATATAACAGGACTGCTTAAGAATAGAAGATACGTTCCAAAGAACGCGCCAGACCGCCACGAGCACTCCAGAGCAGGACACGAGCACGGTCCGCTTCTGTCCGTGTTTTTGGCCGTCCAATAACGGGCGGTGTGGGTATCGAAGAGGAAAAGGCGCCATAAACATATGTTTTGAGCGCTCCGCGCGATTTTCTTGGATCGGCGCCAATGCAACCCGGCGGCGCCTCCGTCGCTGCCCCTGGCGTCAGCGCGCCAGGGAAGGGGTCCAGCATAGATCCAAGAAATCCGCGCGGAGTGCCAAACGTTTACCTTTGGGTGGGGGGAAGCGCTGCCGTCTTGAGCGCGAGCTGATGGCTCCCGGACCCTCTCGCAGCTGCTCCCCTCCTCCCCTCCCCTCCCCCGAGACCTTCTTTCCTATAGCTGCTTCCGTAAGCTTTGGGCTCAAGCGTCGCCGCCCCCCCCCGCCCGCGCCGCGCGCGCCGGCATCGCCGGCGATGCCGGTCGCGCCGGCGGCGTGCCCGCGCGGCCGGCGGCGGGCTCCGGGCGCCGCGGCGGCCCTCGCCGCGCTCGCCGCGGCGGCCGGCGGCCCGGCCGCAGCCCCCTGTGCGGCCCCGGGGTGCCCAGCGCCACGCCGGCCGCCGCCGGACGCTGCAGGGCGGGCCCAGCCGCGCGCGGACGCGGACGCGCCACCGGCCGCGCCGGCCTCCACGAGGCGGCGGCTGCGGCCTCCGCGCTGGCCGCGGGCGTGGCGCGGCGGCAGCGGCGGGGCGGGCCGGCGGCGCGGCGGCGGGCGAGCCTGGTGGAGAAGCTGCGGAAGAAGGCCGACAGGGAGAAGCCCGCGCTGAGGGACTTCGGCGCCGCGGGGGCCGTCTCCTCCGCGCTGCCGCCGGGCACGCAGGCGCCCGAGCTGCGCGCGCGCGTGCACGGGTTCCTCGCTGGGCGGCCAGCGCTGCCAGAGGCCGCGGGGGACTTCGACCTCTTGGATATGACGCCCTCGGACGCGGCGGACATGAACGACCTCCAGCTGGAGTGGTTCCCCGAGGAGTCCTACCCCGACGGGGTGCCGTGGTGCGAGCGGCTCCTCGCGCACGACGGCGTCGTCGCCATCAAGGCGTGCCTGCCGGACGACCCCCAGCGGATGGCCATGGGCTTCGCGGTGGTGTTGTGCACGCGTGGGGCGATGGAGGACTTTTTGATGAAGCCCACCGTTGACACGCTGCGGCAGGAGCTCACTTGCAAGTACTACATACCCTTCGACGCCCCTTCGCGGCGCGAGCTGGGCTATGTGCTCAGCGTCGGGCTGGTCGGCGAGTTGCGCGGGCGCGGCCTTGCGGCCGCGCTGCTGCGGAGGGCGCTGGGGGAGGCGCAGGCACGGGCGCCCGAGGGCGTCAGGGCCTTTGCCCTGGACGTTGCGGACTACAATGCCGCGGCCGTCCGGTACTACGAGCGGGAGGGGTTCCGTTTCGTCAAGGAGCAGCCCGACACGTATGCCGGGGACGGCCGGCGGACGCACAGCGCGAACTTGTACGCCAAGCTCGTGGACGTGCCCCAAGGCTGACGCTGCTAAGCTCCCGTGCGTTGAACGTGCGTGCCGTGGACGCTCCACGCAGGTGCTCGGGCGGGTCTCCTCCTCCGACCTCCGGCGTCGTGATTCCGTAGCTTGCGCCGCGCAGCCGATCCCTTGTGGGCCCCTGGTGCATTTCCGCCCTCACAGACGCCTCCCGCAGTGAGGTGCTGGCGGCGCGAGGAGCCTCGGTCCTCGGGCGAGGGGCGGCGCGTGCCCAGGCTCTCTTGTGGGCGTGCCCGCGGGTTCGTCGCCTCCTCTCCTAGCTGCTCCCCTCCCCCTCCTCCCTTCTCCTCCCCCCTCCTTCCGGGAGGGGGGGGGGGAAGCGACAGTGAGAGGGTGGGAGGCATTCAACGGAAGGGGGGCAGGCAGGGGGGGAGGAGGAGGAGGAGGAGGAGGAGGAGGAGGAGGAGGAGGAGGAGGAGGAGGAGGAGGAGGAGGAGGAGGAGGAGGAGGAGTAGTAGGAGGAGGAGGAGAGGAGGAGGAGGAGGAGGAGGACGACGACGAGAAGGAGGAGGAGGAGGAGGAGGAGGAGGAGGAGGAGGAGGAGGAGGAGTGTGAGGAGGAGGAGAAGGAGGAGGAGGAGGAGGAGGACCAGTGCAAACCCAAGAGTCATCAACGATGGTGGAATACACCCTCCCTCCAAGCTTCCTCTTCATACCTACAAGGGTTCATTTCCACTGAGGGAACTGCCTCGTTGGGAGACAGCCGTTTGAAGACACGGAAGCATGCCAAGCATTGTTCTCGGGATTCTGAAAATGGAAGGCCCTCAATCTGTGGAACTCTTGCACATGTTTAAAACAATAATGCACACGGGTGGCCCTCAATCCGTGAAATTCCTGCGAATGTTCAAACCGACTGTGCGAGGCGCTAAGGCGAGAGCCACATTTTGAAAACCACCCGCCCTCCATCTGTGAAACGGCTGTCAATTGTTATGCTTCAGGGTCATAAATGGGGAGGATGTCTCAGGCGAAACGCCTGGCCTGCCCTAAAAACTGGCCTCGGGGTGTGACAGGGAGAAGGAAAGGAGGAGGAGAAGTAGGAAGAGGGGGAGGAGGAGGAGGAGGAGGAGAGGAGGAGGAGGAGGAGGAGGGAGGAGGAGGAGAGGAGGAGGAGGAGGAGGTGAGGAGGAGGAGGAGGAGAGGAGGAGGAGGAGGAGGAGGAGGAGGAGGAGGAGGAGGAGGAGGAGGAGAGGAGGAGGAGGAGGAGGAGGGAGGAGGAGGAGGTGAGGAGGAGGAGGAGGAGGAGGAGGAGGAGGAGGAGAGGAGGAGAGAGGAGGAGGGGAGAGGAGGAGAGGAGGAGGAGGAGAGAGGAGGAGGAGGAGGGAGAGGAGGAGGAGGAGGAGGAGGAGGAGTGGATGATGCAGGCACAAAATGCAGAACAAAACCGTGGCGCTTCACGAAACGCGGGCCAAACGTGCCCTAACCAACGGCCAACGCGGCCAACGGCCAACACCAAGGGCACACGTGCAAAAAGGGGGCTCACGGACACAAGCTGGGACCTGACTTCTCGCTTACTTGCCCTGACCAACTCCCAAGAGCGCCAGAAACGCTGTGCCTTAGGGAGGAAATCAAGAAAAAGAAAGCAAACCAAGGACCGCCCTACACCCCGCACCAAACTGGCGCATGGGGATTCGGGATCGGCGCCCAAGGGACAAAACACCGAGCGTTTCCCAGCGCCCGCACCCCCACAAGCACGGCAACAGTATGCCCGCGGCGAGAAGAACTGCAACCAAGAGGTTACAGGCGGGAAGCCGCAGGCCCCGCCTCCGTGATCGTCAACGGCGGTTCACCTCAGACCAGGAGGTGCCACTGGGGTCTCCCCGCGCCCAGGCTGCACCTCTTGGCCGAGGTGGCAGGGCACTAAAAGCCCTGGCCTGACGGCTGCAACAGCGACAGCGGCGGCAGCAGGGGCGGGGAGGGGGGGAAGGGCCACTCTCCGGCCCAGAAGCGCAAACAACGTCCACCCTGGAACTTAATCCAGGGCAGCGCCGCAACTCCCAAAGAGGGAAGGGGCGACGGACACGACGACGAAGCGAGACACGAAGGACGACAACGAACGACCACGAACCTCCCAGAGGGAAGTGCCGCCTTCCGCCCGTTCCTTATCGCACCCGCGAGCGGGCGGGAGAAGGAGCCTGACATCATCGGACCCACACCGCATGCAGGCGGTGCCACACGGAGACCAGGCTGCACCGCTTATCCGCGGTGGCGAGGCATTTTAAAATTGCCTCGGCCTGACGGCGGAGGAGGAGTGGAAGGAGGAGGAGGAGGAGGTGGAGGAGGAGAAGGAGGGGGAAGAGGAGTGGAAGGAGGAGGAGGAGGAGGAGGAGGAGGAGGAGGAGGAGGAGGAGGAGGAGGAGGAGGAGGCAGTGTGATGCGCCATGACATGCCTGCAGCCACCGCTCCATAGACAATTTTTGCATACCCCGGTCTAGCTCAGTAGCTTTCAATGTTTCCTGGGACGGGGCGGATCCTTGGCACGCTGACGCCATTTAAACCACTCGCTGCCCTTTCTGCACACTTTGCCGCGGTCACCTGACTGGGAGGTCGTTGGAGGGGAGGATCCAGCAGTTAGGGGGGCGAGGAAGAGCACAAACGGCAGCAACATAAGCCAACAAGTATTGCTTGTGCCAGCATTTCGTGACTTTATTTACTCGTTTCGCTCACTCCGCCGGTCCATCTTGCATCTCTGATGCTATATGTTTGTGTGTTCGTGGCGAGCGAAAAGGAGGACGAGGAGGACGAGGAGGAGGAAACGGGGGGGATGAGGATGAGCAGGAGGTTTCTGGATGGCTTGTGTGTCAATGTGGGGCGAAACTGGCCATGGACAAGGCGCCTCTTTCACAGTCGCTTGGGGTCTTCCGGGAGGCTTCTCGAGGGCCTCGTGGCCATATGCTGGTGATCTCCTGGGTGTCTCGTGGGAGCCTCTTTGGGGCCTCCTGGTGCGTCACGGGGGCCCCTTGGGGGCCTCTCGGGGGTTCTCTTGGGGCCCCTCCGGCGCCTGTTGGAAGCTTCTTGGGGGCCTCTTGGGGCCTCCAGGGGACCTCTCTGCGCCTAGAGCTCGAAGTGTCAGTTCGGGTCCCCCGTCTGGGCCTGCTCTTGGAGCCGTCTTGGAAGCCTCTTCAGTCATCTTGGAGGCCTCTGGGGCTGTCTTGGGGCCCTCTGGGGCCGTTTTGGGCGCTCTTGGATGCCTCTTGGGCTGTGTTGGGGCGATCCTGGAAGCTTCTTGGGCCGTCTGACAGCCCCGGGAAGCCGAAAAGGCGAGAACGGCCAAAACCCTCAAACACTTGGGGAATATCATGCATTTCTGCCTCTGTGGGCCCTCTTTGGGGGGTCTCTTGGAGCCGTCTTGGTTCGTCTTGAAGGCGCTGTGGGTTGTTAGGAGGCCATCTTTGGCGTCTTGGATCGCTCTCGGACCGTCTCGGATCATGCTGAGCTCTCTTGGAGGTCACTTGAAGCGCTCCTGGAGCGCTCTTGGGAGCCTGCTGGGGACCTGCTTGGGACCTGCTCGGGACCTGGCTGGGACCTTGCTGGGATAATTTTCGTCCGGGGACCCCAGGGGCGGCCCCGCGCGCGCGAAGTGGAAATATAGTTCATTCTTGACGCTTCGCGGATCCCCACCAGCCTTCCGTAGCCTTCGCTCAAGCACGATCACTCCAGGCGACGCCCCGCGGTGCGCAGACATGGCGAGAGAGAGAGAAGGAGAGGCGGACACGCTGCTCGTGGACCTGGTGCCCCGGCCCGAAGACCCGGTGCGAAGCGAGGACATTTGGGCCGTCGTGGCGGTGTACCGCGAGTCAGGGGTCGAGCTTGACCACTGCATCTGCGGTCTTACCCAAAAACGGTGGGGACCCCAGCATGCGAATCATCATCTTCGTGGACGGCGCGCAGGGCTCGGGCCTCTTCCAGCAGGCGGTTGGCGAGGGCGGCGCGGCGGTCCATAACGCCATGCTCGCGGCTCGCTCGGCCCTGGCGCAGGGGCTGCCGCTGCCAGAGCCATGGGGCGACGACAGCTTGGGCGCCCTGCTCCACCTGGCGGGGCTGCTGCGTCTGGGCGCCCCTGCTGTGGCCCACGGGTGTCTCATGTTCACCGGCGTGTCTCCCCACGGCGCCCCCTTCGAGGTGCACGTCAAGGGGCCTGCGGTCCCCCGCGCCAAGCGCTCTTAGCCACGCGATGGCGCTCTCGCTGCTGGCCGGAGACGAGAAGGCGGGCCGCCCGCGCTGCCGCGCGCGCTGCTCTTGGTGGACGGCGACTGCCGGTCGGAGCCCGGGGCCGTCGGCCGCAGGTTCTCCTGCCTCGTCGACCAGGGGCTGGGCGGCGCCACCCCGCGTCTGCTGCCGGAGCGGCGTGCGGAGAGCACCGCGCTGGTCTGGCAGACCGTCAGGAATTTCGGGGTCTCGGGCCTGACCTGGGGCTCGCAGTCCTGCTTTGGTTTACAGCACCCAGCTGGCGGCGCCTTCGTCATGTTCTCCACGGGCGCCCTGAGGGCATGCACGGAGGAGTATTGCAGGGCCTGCAGCCCGGCCTCCATCTGGGACTGCTTACGGATCGACAGCGGCGAGGACTCGTACCTAATTAACAAATTTGGTCTTGGAGCAGGGCTTCAAGGCCCGCCACCTCCTGCACTGTCACGCGACCGCCTTCATGCCCGAGACGTGGCTCGAGTACTTGGCGCAGCAAGCCCGGTGGAAGCGTTCGCACCTCGGCAACCGTTCCGACATCCTCCTGCGCCGCAGACGTTCGAGCTCCTGGAGTGCTTCTTCCGCGGCGAGTTCTTGGGCGTAGGTTTCATCGTCTTCCTCTTCGCCAAGATCAGCGGCCCTCCGCTTCGCCAGCTGGCGGAAAGCATGTGCAACTTCCACGGCGAGGTGCTCCCCGAGGACCCCGTGGAGTTGGCGACGGCAGGGGGTCCTCTGGCCGGCCCTGTCGCTGCACGCGACCTCGGCGGCGGGCCGACCCGTCTCAGACCCGCCCACTGTCCACCGCGTCGCCATCGGGGCTTGGCCGCGCTGCTGCCCGCCTCGCAGCTGACCCTGCCGGTGGCGTCACTGGCAGGCCCACCGCTACCAGCAGTCCTGGGCGCTGCAGCTCGCCCCCGCCGCCTCCGCCGGCCTCGCCAGGCTGCCGCGCGGCCTCCGCGCGCCGCCCTCGCGCTGCCCCTGGCGCTGCCCCTCGCCTGCGGCATCGAGAACGCGCTCGCGCCCCTGCTCGGCGTGGCGAACGCGGGCGCGTCCGCCGCCCTCGGCCGGGGCGCGCGCCAGGGCGCCGGCGAGCGCGCGGCCCGGGCCAGGCTCGAGGACCAGGGGCGCGAGCAGCGGGCGCGGGCGCGGAGGAGGCTGCTCGCGGGCTGGCCGCTCGCGAACGGGCTCCTGGGGCCGCTGCTCGAGGCGCTCCGCCGGCACGCCGCCGTCCTCGAGGGCACGCTGGTCTTCGTGGCGGCGAGGATGGTTCTAGACATGATCCTTCGATGCTCGTTTCGGGGACCTTCCTGGAGCCCACCTAATGGATCTGTTCGACCCCAGTTCGACTCGAGTTCGACTCGAGTTCGACTCAAGTTCGACTCAGGTTCGACTCAGGGTCGACCCAACTCGACTGACGTTCGACGCAGCTTCGACGCACGAGTGGAGCGAGTGGCTCCAGGAAGGTCCCCAGAACGAGCATCCAATGATCCTGTGCTCGTGGCACTCTGCCTGGCTGCGCTTCTCGACTGCGCGCGGCAGCGAGGCCGAGACCGCCGACGACCGCGCCGCGCTGGCGGAGTCGGAGTCGAGCGCGCACGGGGCATAGGCGCTCCCTCCAACCAGGCTCGGAGACCTGCCCCCAACCATGTGCGCCATGTGATCCGCTCTGTAATTCGCATGCATGTTTTTTGTTTGTCTTTGTTCTTTTTTGTATATTTATGTATTTGTCTTTGTTGTTGCCGTTTTTTTGTTTGTTGTTTGCTGTTTTTGTCTTTGTTGTTTTTGCTTTTTTTGTAATTATGATAACAAGATAATATTTTTCGAAACACACACAAACCAAACAACAAAGAAACAAAACAAAAACAACTCGTTGGGCCCCAAAGGGTACGACGACGTTGCGCCGAGGCATCAGAATTTGGCATTCTGCAGACACGTATGTTCCTGTATTCCGGCGGCCTGAGTTCAGATTGCAGAGAGACCCTTTGATTATGTGCCTGATCTTCGTCGTTCTTCACGAGAACGCTCCGGTTCTCCAAGGGATCGCTCCCGCCTGCGTACATTAGTAGGACATTCGCTTCTTTCGTCCCTAGTGCGTCCAAGATGGCCCTAAGACAAACAAATCTCGTTCTCGGAGAGGGGATTGCCCCGGATCTTTTAGTGAGCGATTTCGGTGGCGCCACTCGTACTGGTTCCTGGTCAGTGACGTATTCCTGGCCATCGGTGTTAGTATCACCTCCTGGAGCGTATCGCAAGCGAGCTGCCCCCTTCAGTGGCTGGGTGCATGGATGTCTCGTGTGGTTTATCCTACGTCTAGTCCTCGCCCTCAGCGGTCACTTGTCAGCTTCGCTGTCTGTGACCTTGCCGCGCCATTTCGGCTACGTATAGCTCCGTGGTTCAATTCGTGCATCGGCACTGCCCCCGGACCCTGGTCCCGATTGCAGTTTCGGGAGCCTCGAGACGGGGGTCAGTGCAGACGGGGGTCAGCCAGAGTGCCGGATCTTGCAGGATCCTGCAGCGCCAGGGTCGCATTGACCCGGGTTTGGGTGCAGGATTCTGCAGGATCCTGCAGGATCCGTCGCATTGACCCGGGTTTGGGTGCAGGATCTTGCAGGATTTTGCAGGCCTGATTGACCCGGGTCTGCATTGACCCGGGTCAGAAGATCCCCGACAGTTTGCATCGCCCGCCGGCAAGGTTTCGGGTTCAGCCCCGCTTCCTGGCCCCACCCCGCGCCGCCCGGCAGCTTAGGCAGCTTTGGCAGCTTAGGTGCGGCCGTCGGTCCCCGTGCGCTAGGCAATTGGGCTCGCGCGTCGCCCGCCCGATCTCTGACGCTGCTGGCGCGCTCGCCTGCGGCCGCGACGGAAAAAATATCCCCACCAGCCTATTTAGGCCGTTGCTCGTGTGCTACGCTCCTGGACGCCGCCCGATGTTTTTTCCGACGCGGCCGCGATCAAACAGTACCCCCGCCAGCCTCCGCTGTGCTCTCGTCGCCTCCTTCCTTCCCCTGGTGCGCAGTTCGCTCATAGCCCGCTTGCTGCGACCTTTGACGGCGTCCAGCGTCTCCCGATGCGCTCGCGATCAAACAAGTATTTCCACCAGCCCATCCAGAAACGATGCCCATGAGAGTTGACGGGGGAAGGGGAAAGACACGCATAGTCAAACAGCGAGGGGGGGTTAGGAGGCTTCGTGGCCATCTCGAGCCGTCTTGGAGCGGTCTCGGGGCCGCTCGGAGCATAGCCATCTTGAGCCAGCTTGGGCTATCTGAGCCATCTTGGAGGTCATCCTGGGCTCTCTCAGGCCGCTCGTGGCCTCTTAAGTCTTGGAGGCTTCCTTGGAGGCCTATTGGGGTTTCTTGGAACGCTCTTCGGGCCCTCTCGGGAGCCTCCTGGGGGCCCTGGAGGGCCTCTTGGGGCCATCTTGGAGGCGGTCGGTCAAAACAGGGGGGGTGCTAGATTTGCGTGCCCGCTTCGGGGGCCACGATCCTCGTGAGGGGTGGCACAAAATGGCCCTCCCTGGGGCCGAAGAAGGAGCCTCTGACACATCGCGACCCCGTCCCCTCCCCGAAGGGAAGGAAGGTAGGTTGTGGAAGAGGAAAGAGACCCTCGTTAGACCACCTGTCGCCCAAAGGGCTGGTGGGATTTGTTACCGGAGATCTTGGCACGCCCTTGGCCCGCTGGGCAGGCGAATTTTGTTGGCGCAACCATCAGTATAATTTATAGTTTCGACTACAGCTTAGTCCACGTATCTCAAGCAGGAGGCAACCAGGACGATCCAGACAGCCCTCACAGCTGTAAGTACTTAAGGATCGCTGTTCGAGGCTATGTAGGCCCGTCGGTAGGGGACGACCCCCCAGGGCCACTTCCATTGTGGCCTACCGACAACTGTTTGCTCCAATATTATATAATTTATACCCACCATGTGCACTAGCAGTTTCTGCTACAAGGCCAGCGAGTTCAAATTTGGCCAGCCAGGCCGATCCAAGCCTCACACCCACCAACATACCCAGTTGAACATTGCGTCAGCCGCTTGCTTTATTATTCCCACCGATCGGCAAGCCAATAGAATATTGAAGCAACTCATTAAGGCTAAATTTCAGACAGCAGCGGTGATGAGTCCACGTTGCCACGGCACTTGCTTCTTTGTGTTTGGGGGCCGCGGGTGGTCATGGGTAGAGAGATAAGAGGATGAGAGGGAAACCATACAGTCATATTTTCAGGCTTGCTGTCTAGCTACCCTGTTCTCCGACCTAGGACAGATGGAGCCGAGACGATCACAATTGCAGGCAACGCTCGGCATGTGTATTTCGTAACCTTCCTTGTTCGGCTCCTCCTTAGTCGGGTTAAGTCTTTCATTCGTTCGATTGGGTTCGGATTCCCTCACACCTACCAGCACCACGAGGCTAGCGTATATGTCGAGCCAATGGGCATCCTCATTGTTGCTTGTCTCTTTGCCCTGTCCGTTCAATCTTCTACGTTGGCCTCGCCTAATTTGTTGGTGCTTTGCCTGAGCCGGCTTCACGCATGTATTCCCGCGATCCATTTCCGTGGCTTAAGTTCGCCCAGCGCGAGGAGGATGTGCACTCGACGACGCCAAACCACGCCAACCCCAGGCCATCCTCACACAGAGTAGGACGCACTACGTGGGGAGAGGGCGAAATTCGTACGCACCTGAAGCTCCAATACTACTATACAACAGGAGCAGGAGGAAGAGGAGGAGGAGGAGGAGGAAGAGGAGAAGGAGGAGGAGGAGTAAGAGGACGACGACGACGACGACGACGATGACGACGACGACGACGACGCCCCCTCCCCCCTCCCCTCTTGCGCGTCCCACGTCGATCCCCAGAGGTCAGGACCCCGTCCACGGGACGGGTTTTCCCTCCTGAGTCGTTATTGACGGTATGGGGGACCAGCGATGGCCTTTGGAGGCCGAAAATGGAAAAACAGATCCGTCGTGCCGTCGTGATTTTTTCACAACGCGAAGAGGTATGGGTCTCCTCCTCCTCCTCCTTCTCCTCCTTCTCCTTCCCCTCCTCCTCCTCCTCCTCCTCCTCTTCCTCCTCCTCCTCCTCCCCCTCCTCCTCCTCCTCCTCCTCCTCCTCCTCCTCCCTTCCCCCCTCCTCCCTCCTAGTCCGACCCTCCTCCGACTCCTCCTCCTCCTCCCGTCCTCCGCCTCCTCTCCTCCTTCTCCATTTCCTCCTCCTCTTCTTCCTCCACCTCCTCTCCTCCTCCTTTTCTTCCTCCACCTCCTCCTCGCTCCTCCTCCTCCTCTCCTCCTCCCTCCTCCTCCTCCTCCTCCTCCTCCTCACACTCCTCCTCCTCCTCCTCTCCTCCCCCTCCCTCACTCCTCCTCCTTGTCTGGTCCTCCTCCTCCTATCTACCCTCCCTCCTCATTTTCCGTCATCCTCCTCATCCTTCTTGTCTTCTTCCTTCTCTTCCTCCTCCTCTTCCTCCGTTCCTCCTCCTCCTCCCTCCTCCTCCTTCTCCTCCTCCTCCTCGACTCCTCCCCCTCCTCATCCTCCTCTCCTCCTCCTCCTCCTCCTCCTCCTCCTCCTCCTCCTCCTCCTCCTCCTCCTCCCTCTCCTCCTCCTCCTCCTCCTCCATCCTCCTCCTCCTCCCCCCTCCTCCTCCTCTTCTCCTCCTCCTCCTCGTCCTCCTCCTCGTCCTCCTTCTTCTCCTCCTCCCTCCTCCTCCTCCTCCTCCTCCTCCCTCCTCCCTCCTCCTCCACCACCTCTTCCTCTCTCCTCCTCCTCCACCTCCTCCTCTTCTTCATCCTCCTCCTCCTCCTCCTCCTCTTCCGCCTCCGTCCCCCCCCCCCCCGCGGGGAGGTGCCGAACCTGTGGATCATGAAGCCCGCGGGCAGCAGCCGCGGCCGGGGCATCCAGGTCGACCGCCTCTCCGCCGCCTCGCGGCCCCGTTCCCGAGGGGCTGCCGCTGCGTCGGGCCCCCCCCCGGCCCGACCCTGCCTGCGACGCGGCCAGATCCCAGTCCCCTCGCGTTGTGAAAAGTCACGGCGGGAGTTGCTTCTTCCTTTTCGGCCTCCGGGGGCCCCTCGAACTGGGCCCCTGGACCGTCACGACTCAGGATGAGAAACGGGTCCCGGGGAAGGGGTCCAGGCCTCTGTGGGTCGGCGTTGAGAAAGCAGTCGCGATGTCGGATCGTGGGAGCCCCGGGCGCCCCCCCCCATGCAGACATCCGGGCGTTGCAGGCCTGTTCGCCCTGGGCGTCTTCGCCCAGGTTCGGGCCCCAGGGCCCTCACAGATCGATCCGGCCCGACTGCCTCCGACGCGGCCCGATCGTGGGAGCCCGGGCGCCCTCCCCCAGACATCAGGGCGCTGCAGTTCTGTTCGCGCAGGGCGTTTTCGCCCAGGTTCGGGCCCCAGGGCCCTCACAGATCGATCCGGCCCGGCCCTGCCTCCGACGCGGCCCGATCGTGGGAGCCCGGGCGCCCTCCCCCGGCGTTTTCGCCGAATTTCGGGCCCCAGGAACCTCCCATCTCGATCCGGCTCTAGGGCTCCGCTCGGGATTTGTTGTGATGCTGCGTTCTGTTTTGCAACGTCGGATGCCAGGGGAGTCGTGGTATTAAGTCGGGCGTGTCCCGTACAGGGGGATTTTCGACGAAAAATAAAAAGTAACCCTAAAATGCTCAAAACATAGTCCAAGAATCGTATGGGGACTACTCTTTTGCGCACTTTTTGACCATTTGGGAGTTTTTGTTGGAATATGTTTTATTTTTCGTCGAAAATCCCCCCGTAGGGTGACACGCCCGACTCAATCGTGGTAACCTTGACATCTTCTCGTCATGGAGAGATCACGACGCACGTTCTTTCCTTCAGCGTGCGGCCTCCAGGGGCTCTCGCCCTGCCCCGGGGCAGTCCAGAGAACGACTCGGCATGAAGAGTGGGTCCTCCGCCTCCACCTCCTCTTCCTCCTCCTCCACCTCTTCCCCCTCCTCCTCCCCATTATCCTCCTCCTCCTCCTCCTCCTCCTCCTCCTCCTCCTCCTCCTCCTCCTCCTCCTCTCCCCCTCCTCCTCCCCCTCCTCCTACCTTTCCTCCTCCTCCTCCTCCTCCTCCTCCTCCTCCTCCTCCTCCTCCTCCTCCTCCTCCTCCTCCTCCTCCTCCTCCTCCTCCCCCTACTCCTCCCCCTCCTCCTTCCACAGGAAGTGGCCGAAACGTCTGGGGGGCCACGCTGCGAAGAGAAGCACGACGTCGCATGGGGCCTCCGCGGAGGCCGCCAGAGGCCGCCGAACGCCCAGAGCCTGCGGTCCTCGATGCCCGACGACACCCCTCCACGAGGTATCCTGCACTGGGGACGCAGCCGTAAGTCGGGCATGTCCCTTTACAGGAGGATTTTCAAAATAGTCAAAAAATAGCCAGGGGACGGTGTTTCTATTATTTGTTGAATATGTTCGAGCATGTTTTGACTATCTTGCATTTTTCTGCCAACATCCGCCTTTAGGGGGACATGCCCGACCCAAACGCAGCCCCGAGGAGCCCCCCACTGGGGACGGATCCACGTCAGGGGCCCGGTGGGGCCCGGAGTTGCGGCGAGCCACGGAGGCGCTGAAGAGCCCTGGTCCCCGTCGGGAGCCAGAGTGCTCCTTCTTTTCACGCATCGTGCCCTGACGTTTTTGTTTCTGTTCCCCCGTCGGAAGGGTTCCCAGATGTTTCCGTCGGTTCTTGGAGGTCTCCTCGCTTCGGGATACTGTCCGGCAACTGCGCCTTGTCGAGGGCGTTCTTGGGGTGCCCGAGTCGTTCCGCTCGTTGTTTGCGCCGAGTCCTTCCAGGGGCTCGTTGGGCCGTCTTTGGATTGACCCGGGCCGTCCAGCAGCCTGCTCGGGACGGTATTCGGTCTTCTTTGGGGCTGCCTGCAGGCCAGAAGCGGCGTCGGAGAGCAAAACGAGGGGACGATGTTTCGAGCAGGCGAACGGCCCTAGACACATTGATTGCATGAGCCTTACAGACAAGAGACCAGCATTCGGGCATGCTCCGCTGGTGCCGCTGGCACGGCGGTGCGAACACATTCGAGAGCCGCGGGACAGAAATCGGAAAACCCCCCTCCACCACCTGCGCCACCCTGCTCCTCATAGGACCCCCTTTCCCCCCCCAAAAAGGATCTTCAAACAATGCCGCGGAGCTCGTTAGACCCCACAGCTCCGAAAACACGCCTTGGTGGCCTCGGCCCCACCTCGCCCGTAACGCAGCAGGGCAGCAGGCGGAGGGGGGCGTCGGACGCGCGAGAGAGGTTGTAGACGACGTCGGGTCGGTGCACTACGGTGAGCTGACCATCATCCAGCAGTGCCGCCTGCTTCAGGAGGATAGGGAGGAGAAGGAGGAGGAGGAGGAGGAGGAGGGGGAGGAGGAGGAGGAGGACCAGTGTAAACACAAGACCCATCGTTGGGAGTCATTCGTTTGAAGACCCTGAAGCGTGCCAAATCACCATTCTCGGGAGTCCAACGCCACGAATCAACTTGATCGACGCGTCTTGACGATCCTGAATCGTGCCAGGACGCCATTTGTGGGACTTCAACACCGTGAACCCAAGTAACTGGCGCACCCTCGCAATCCTGAGCCGTTCCAAAACACAATTTCTGGTACGTTGACCATGGGAATCCGTGGAACCGTCGTCACTGTTTGAGACGAGTGCTCGCGGCGCTACAGCGAGAGTTACATATCAAAGACCACACGCCCTCAAACCGTGAATTTGTCGCAATGTGTTGCGACGAATGTGCGCGGCGCTCAGGCGAGAGCTACATTTTGAAAACGGCCCGCCCTCAATCCGTTAAACTCCTGCAGCGTGTTAGAACTAATGTGCGCGTCGCTGAGGCGAGAGCCATATGTTGAAGACCATCTGCCCTCAATCCGTGAAATTCTTGCAAATGTTCAAATGTACGCGGCGCAAGGCGACAGCCACGTTTTGAATACGACCCGCTTCAATCGGTCAAACTCATGCACTTTGTTAGAAGTAACGTGCGCGGCGCTGAAGCGAGGGCTTCATTTTGAAAACCAACTGCCCTCATTCCGTGAAGCTGTTGCCAGGTTCTCAGTTTCAGAGTCATAATCGGTGAGGAGGTCTCAGGCGAAACGTCCAGCCCGCCCTTTCAACCAGCCTCGGGCTGAAGGAATGGAGGAGGAGGAGGAGGAGGAAGAGGAGGACGAGAAGGAGGAGGAGGAGGAGGACGTTGAGGAGGACGAGGAGGAGGACGAGGAGGAGGACAGGGAATCAAAGCAACGAAGAGGGGGGAGGAGCAGGGACAAGGCATGATGATGATGAGGAGGAGGAGGAGGAGGGGGAGGAGGAGGAGGAGGAGGAGGACCCCGAGGAGGGAAATGGATACGTGCCATGAGTAGAAGGTGGAGCGAGGATATGCGCTTCTGGACCGGGTCGCGACCAGATCTGACCCGCACGCGATCGTCCCAGACCGTTTCTTCGTTCTCTTGTTATGTTCGAACTTTTGGCGTGACATGTGCGTATGTGTGTGTGTGTGTGTGTGCGTGTGTGTGTGTGTGTGTGTGTGCGTGGGTGTGTGTGTGTGTGTGTGTGTGTGTGTGTGTGTGTGTGTGTGTGTGTGTGTGTGCCGCGGCGGTGTGCGGTGCACTTACAGCGGTGGCAGGGCAGGGATGCGCAGCAGAGCGCCACGCAAATGGCTCAGTTTCACCATTGTCGGCCCGACCCCAGGAGGGCACAGGCCGCGTGTGGGTTAGGGCGCACGGGCTGCGTGGCGCTGGCCTTCCCGTCCGAGAAAGGGCCTGGCTGGAGCGAGACTGGTGGGGGGGGCAAGGGGGGCAAGGCTCCCGCGGTCACCGCTGCTGCTGTCGACCCCATGCCGGTGCTCGGGCAGTGGGCGCGCGAGTTGGCGGCGCTCAGGGCGCTGCCGCCCCGCCATCCCCCGCGGACCACGGATCAGGCGCAGTAGTCCCAGATTTCCCAGAGCGCCTCCTCCTCGTCGTCGTCCTCCTCCTCCTCCTCCTCCTCCTCCTCCTCCTCCTGTTCTCATCCTCCTCCTTCCTTCCCCCCAGAACCTTCTCCTCCCCGTTTCTTCTTGAACGCTGCAGCGGGGTATTGTTTTGCCGTTGCCATTCGTGAGCTTCCTGGCTTGATGTGGGCCCAATCAGAGGCACCTGCCCCATCGTGTGTGTCACCAGCTTCGGCCTCGGCCGCCGTACTTGACTCGCTCCGCCTCGTCGCTGCGTGTCTGTGTGTGTACCTTTCTGCGTGGTCCGATCGGGCCCCGTCTTTTTTCTCATCGCCCTCTTGCTCTGTCGTTTCGTGCTTGATTCGCTTCTGGTGCATCCCGCCGCTCGCTTTGACCGGCGCCGGACCGTCTCGCACACCCTTGCGCCCGCGGACTCGAAAAGTGCGCACCTACCTCCCATGCAAGCTCCGGGGAGGGAGCGGCGGTCCTTCCGCTGCTGCTCCCCCTCGAAGACTGGCACCTACTGGCCCTGTTCGTGTTAAGTCGGGCATGTCCCTCTAAAGGAGGAAGATTCAAGAATAGTGAACAAGTCGTCTGGGGGCGATGCTCGTGCTCTGTTGGCTATTTGCGACTTTTTTCTTAAACGAAAAATGATTTCAAAATCGCCTGTAGGACCAGATTCCCGACCGAATGTTTGGGGGCCCCCGGTGGCCTCCATAGACCTCTGGAGGTTTTTTGGGGGGACCTCTGGGGACCACGGGGGACCCCCCGCCTGGTCCTCGGCAGCCTCTCGCCTGACGACCGCAACTGCTACCCTCCAGGGGCCTCTTCCACTAACAGCCAACATCTTTGGGGCAGGGGCTTCCGCTTCCTCCTCCCCACACCACCTCTCTCGTCCACCTCATCCCTTCCCCCTCCTCCACTGCAAATCTGTCCACATCCTCGGGAGACGCTTATATAACATCCTCGTGTGGGGGGGGGGGCGCCACGGAGGGGGACACTTTGTTCACGTCTGGGGTTCGCTCCGATTCTTCTCCAGCCGTAGATATGGCGTGACAGGCAGGATCGACTTTCGGCTGCCTGCGGCATGCGGCTTCCAGGTATATTCCCGATCCCTTCTTGATCAACGGCTACAAATGGGACATGCGAACGTACGTTACCGTGACGTCGTTCAACCCGCTCGAGGCTCATCGGATCGAGCTGTGTGGGGCACACGGGGTTGAGGGTCATGGACGGAAAGGAGGCCGGGAGGGGGGAGCGGGAACGGGAGCGACCCGGGGAGGACGGTTCAAGTTGTCACTGCCCTCCCTCCCCCTCCTCCCGCCCCGCCACCGAGTCGACGGCAGCGGCAAGAGCGCGTGGCACAGAGGACTACGAAGGGGACGGGCAGGAGGACGCAGGCGGACCAGGTCCGCCTGGGCGCCCGCACGAAGGGTGCCACGTCGCGACATGCTAGGGAGGGTCGGAGGCACGCGCGGAGGGGGTGGTGCGATTGGGAGGGTCGGGGGAGCAACGACAGCACGGTTAGGTCTCAGTACTGCGTCTGGCCGTCACGGGCTCCGTGCCCGTGGTCACATGCAGCCGTCGTGGCCCCGAAGCTGATATTCAGACGGGTGGCGCTGCGAAGCACTGTGGTCCGCGGCTCTTTTGGGAAGAAACAAAGGTGAGGAGGACGAAGACGAGGCGGAGGAGGCTTAGGCCTTCTTGGGGTTCGAAGATGCGCCTCCTGATTATCATGTCGCCTGCTTGTGGCGTGGGCTCCGTGAGTGCGTCGCGGACACCAGGGCGGCCCCGCGTGCTGCTGTCCTCGCGTGCTCCCCTCGGACTCCGTGGTTGAAGGAGGAGGCTAGCACGGGGAGGGGGTGGAGGAAGCGGGGAGGATGCGGAGGGGAGGGATGGGGAGCGGGGAAAGGACGGAGAGGCGGCGAGGGAATTGGAGGAGGAGGAGGGGGTGGAGGAAGGGAGGGAGGACGCGGAGGGGATGGATGGGGAGCGGGGAAAGGACGGGGGACGCGGCGTGGGAATTGGAGGAGGAGGGGGTGGAGGAAGGGGGGGAGGACGCGGAGGGGAGGGATTGGGAGCTGGGAAAGGACGGGGGAGGCGGCGAGGGATAGGAGGAGGAGGAGGAGGAGGGGGAGGAGGAGGGGGAGGAGGAGGAGGAGGAGGAGGTTTTCTCCGCCGTCGGCGGCAGGCGCCTGGGGCGGAGGCGCCCCGTCACCAGCAACGGCAATAGTAATGATGCGGGTAAGGAGAACAATAGTAATAGTAGGTGCAGTAGACATATTCGTAATAACCAAAAGGCGAGTAAGCAAAACAATACATATAACATAGTGGTACGATCCGAGTGCTATCGATGATGCCTCTTACTAATAAACATAAGAACCATACTAATCATAAGAGTAACGAATCAGAGTTTTAAGAGTAATACTATTCATTCTGCCATTACTAACAATAATCACAAGATGGGGGAGGCGGAGGAACAGCGTAAGCTGGGTCAGAAATTGGAAGAGAGTGGGAAGGAGGGCACAGGGGGGAGGGAGGCGGGCGATGATAGATGAGTGAGGAGATTGGCGGAACGAGGAAGGCGGCAGGAGGGACGAAGGGCGGGATGAGGCGACGAGGGGGAGGGGAGGGAAGCAGCATGCCCGGAGTGGCCGTGGGCACCCTGGGGGCGCCGCGGGCGGATCGGTGGCCCAGCGCGCCCAGGCGTTCATCTACAAGGAGGGCTTCGCTCGCTTCACCACCGTGCCCTACTCCACCGACAAGGACAGCGCCTCGTGCGCGTTTTTTGCTCTCTCCCTCTCCCTATCCCCCCTCTCTCTCTTGTGGTTGTTGTTGTTGTTGTTGTTGTTGTTGTTGTTGTTGTTGTTGTTGTTGTTGTTGGTGGTGTTGTTGTTGTTGTTGGTGTTGTTGGTGTTGTTGGTGTTGTTGTTGTTGTTGTTAGGTTGTTAGGTTGTTGGGTTGTTGGGTTGTTAGGTTGTTAGGTTGTTAGGTTGTTGGTGTTGGTGTTGTTGTTGTCGTTGTTGTCGTTGTTGTTGTTGTTGTTGTTGTTGTTGTTGTTGTTGTTGTTGTTGAACATTATTACTTCTAAAGAATAATTATTGTTGGGGCCCCTGGTGCACGACCCCCCCGCCGCGCCTAGGCCGCAGCCTCATTTTCATCATTTTCGTGAGGAAGTCTCAGGCAAAACGGGTTGGTCCGGATCCGGTTGTGTTGTTACGATCGGTTTTCCCTTGCAAAAAATAAGCTAAAGTGGACATTTCTTGTTCTAACATAACCAAACTTCAAGAATCCCTTGCAAAAAATAAGGTAAAGTGGACATTCGCGCGCGCAAGACGAAATCCTTCCAAAACCTTAGTGTTCGTAGCGATTTTAACATAAAAACATCAAAAAACCAATGGTTTTTCAAACAAAAATTGTCAAAATTTCATCCCGCGCGCTCTTGCGGATTCGTAGGAAACCCAACACTTTTTAATCATTTCTGTCAAACGGGCTTTTGCGAGCAACTTTTTCGAACTTCTGCAACAACGGTTGCGCACCTGCCAGGGCCATCATCCCTGTCAAATAATACCATGCGGGACACATTCGTTTTTTCTTCGCGCGCGCACGCCGTCGTCGTCGGCCGCGGGGCCCTGAATAGTAGCCACGGTCGTCCGCATGCCACGAAGTGAAGTGTCCGAACGTCATAGGGCGGGAAGCTGGGTGTGGGTGGTGGCGAAGAGTCGTTTTGGAAATTTGGTAGAGCTTGAACCGGCCCCCCCACAAAGTGGGGGTATTGCCCGCCTCCTATGAAAACCCTGGCACTGGTGAGAACGGAGTGTCCCCACGTGCTAGTAATTGTTGTTGTTGTTGTTGAACATTATTAATTCTAAAGAATAATTATTGTTGGGCCCCCTGGTGCACGGCCCCCCTGCGCCGCCTAGGCCGCAGCTACATTTTCATCATTTTCGTGAGGAAGCCTCAGGTAATTCGATGTGATCAAGATCCGGTTGTTTTGTTGTAATCCGCTTTCCCTTGCAAAAAACACTATAAAATGACATTTCTTGTTCTAATATAATCAAATTTCAAGAATCCCTTGCAAAAAATAAGGTAAAGTGGACATTCGCGCGCGCAAGACGAAATCCTTCCAAAAGCTTAGTGTTCGCAGCGATTTTAACATAAAAACATCAAAAAACCAATGGTTTTTCAACAAAAAAATGTCAAAATCTCATCCCGCGCGCTCTTGCGGATTCGTAGGAAACCCAACACTTTTTAAACATTTCTGTCAAACGGGCTTTTGCGAGCAACTTTTTCGAACTTCTGCGACAACGGTTGCGCACCTGCCAGGGCCATCATCCCTGTCAAATAATACCATGCGGGACACATTCGTTTTTTCTTCGCGCGCGCACGCCGAAATCTCCAAAAACCATTGGGTTCTTAAGAATTTTAGCACCCCATGGGGACGACGATCGGGACAACCACGATCATCAGGACAACCATCGGGACAACCATCGAGACAACCATCGGGAAAACCATATCGTCTCTCTCTCTCTCTTGTGTATTCCCACATCCTTCAGGAATTTGCCCTAAAGATGTGATCAACCATCTTGTGCGTACGTACCATGATCATGTGTACCATGTACCCTACGGGTCATATGCAACTGATGCCTTTGCGTATTCCCACTTCGGCACAGGAATTTGATTAAAAAATGTGACGAACTCCTCTCTCTCTGTCTCTCTCTCTCTTTGTCTCTCTCTCTCCCGCTCTCTTCCTCTGTCTCGCCTTCTCTCTCTCAGTGTCTGTACCATGTCTAGCACTGGTAACAAAGGTATTTGTGTATCCCCACATCCGCCCAGGAATTCCACAAATGTGACCAACTATCTTGCGAGTACGTATCATCTCATGTGTGTCGTGCACACTATCAAATGTAACAGAGTTGTGTATTCCCATCATCCCAGGAACTTGACCCAAAAATGTGACCAACTCCGCTCTCTCTGTCTCTCTCTCTGTCTGCTCTCTGTCTCTCTCTCTGTCTCTCTGTATTATGTATTGTATGGCACAATTGCACCATGCTGGGCACATGCGCGCCCCGAATAAGTGACCAAGTTCTGTGGGTGTGTACCCCACGCCAGTGTAGTAGCCACGGTCGTCCGCACGCCACGAAGTGAAGTGTCCCAACGTCATAGGGCGGGAAGCTGGGTTTGGGTGGTCGCGAAGAGTCGTTTGGATATTTGGTAGAGCTTGTAATGCCCCCCCACGAAGTGGGGGTATTGCCTGGTGTCGTATGAAAACCCTGGCACTGGGGAGAACACCACGCGTTCGGGTAAAATGATTGTTGTAGTTGTTGTTGTTGTTGTTGTTGTTGTTGTTGTCCTTTCTCTCATGCTGAAGCCTCGGTGATGTCGCCAACGCCAGGCTCCAGATAGCCAAGGGTAAAGCCACATGGTCCGCATGGCAGCTCGCCCCCCTGTGTAACTACCTCGTTTGGCGGTGGCCACACCCAACAGAGGAAAGTGCGGGCGGGAATCTCGGCCGACCAGTCCCTGGTGTGCCGCGGGTGTCACCAAGAAGAGGAGATCCGGGAACACACCGTCTGGAGATGCCCGTGCTAGGCCCACGAGCGAACTGCCCTGGCTACCATCACCCCAGGGGAACCGTTGAGAGACCGCCCGCCGCACACACGTCACCGTGAGCTCCTGGCGGAGGACGCTCAAGCCCTCGACCTGCAAGCCACCCTGACCCAAGCCGAGCTCCCGCAACCCATCCCCAGACCGCGCCAACCGCGGGCCGCGAAGAGGGCCACCTCGAGAAATACCCGCACCACCGCGGGAGCGAGGTGGGCTCACGCGGTCTCCGACCGGGCCTGCTCTCACCAGGCCCACCACCCCCCCGCCAGGGCAAGGTTCGGCGTGCACCACGGGCCCGGACATCGGCGGACCCATTCTGCCCGAGCACACGGCGTGGCGCAGTCGGTGCAACCCTCTCAAGACTCTGGCGCTGCTCCACTTCACCGCCACGGCGAGGAGGCCCCGCCCACATCTTGTCGATCGCCGCGCTGTCGGCGACGGCCTCGGGGCTTTCCTCGGAGGACCTCCCCCGCAAGACGAGGGCTCACGAGCCGACCTCTGGCAAAGAATCCGTCAGGTTGTCCAGGGGGAGGAGGAGGAGGAGGAGGAGGAGGAGGAGGAGGAGGAGGAGGAAGAGGAGGAGGAGGAGGAGGAGGAGGAGGAGGAAGGAGGAGGAGGAGGAGGAGGAGGGGGAGGGGGAGGGGTGAGGGGAGGAGGAGGAGGAGGAGGAGGAGGAGGAAGGAGGAGGAGGAGGAGGAGGAGGAGGAGGAGGAGGAGGAGGAGGAGGAGGAGGAAGGCCGAACCCGACGCGCTCCAGGCGCTCAACGTGTCGAGAGCCGCCTCGGAGATCCAGGGGTCAACAAAGGCCGCACCTCACCAAGCGAGGGGGCCTTCGACCGCCGACGCAATGCCACGGGATGCCGTCGACGCGGCCAAGTGGCGACATCCACTCGCGGGTGCCATTCACAGTGCAGCGGTCGCCATACACGACCGTCGTCACCACATTTCCCGCTTTCAGGCCGACGAGCTGGATACTCCAGGTCGGAATTCCGCCGGATGAGGTCCAGCATTCTCACTATAGGGGGCGGCTGGGATGAGCCACCAAGCCCACCCGGTGACCCACCGCACTCCCCAGGGCTCACCAGGGCCAGGGTATTCTGATGGACTTGATGATACATGGGACATCCGCCCCAACAACTTCGAATGTGATGAGGAGGACCCACTCGGCTTATGGGGGAGGGCCCTCGACAGTGACGACGACGCTCCTCGCTCACCAGTTGCCACGACTGCGATGGTCACGATGTGGATGACGATAGTCCACCTCCACGCCCAAGCTGGCACATGACAGCAACGACCCAGGAGGTGTGGTCCACCAGAACCCCACCTCAGGCGCCACACTGCGACACATGCAGGACGACACAAGGGCGGACCATTCGGGAGGCAGCACGGACCCCACCGTCTCCCCTGACACAGGCAGCCGCACCCCAGTGCACAGCCGCGCCGATAACGCCAACCGCCCGGGAGAGGACCAGCGCATGGTGGGCAAGGGGTCGCGGATTGTGCCCCAAGGGCCGCCTCCGTCGCCCCCATCCTTTGGGGTGGGCCACTGCCGCCGCACACCCAGCTCTCACACGCAGTGCTTCCTGCCACCATGCACATCCCGCGCCCCCTCCGGGGAACGGGGACCAACAGCCCTGGTGCCACCCACCAGGGTGCAGGCGCCCGAGTGCCACCACCGCGGCGTTCCCATCGGAGGCGTGCCCTCGCGCGACGCCCCGTCGCGGCCG